TCCCTCCTGATAACCTTGATCCTCCATTCCAGTATCCTCCTCGCACATACCTTCCACTACATAAATGCACTTTGATGACTACATAGTACTTTGGCCTCTAAAGAAGGAACCTCATAGCAATAGGAGGAAATTGCTACCCTGAAGCATGTCTGACTAAAGTTTTTGATCTTGCTTTAGAAAAAAAAGAAACCACGTGACATTTCTAACCATTTCTATACAATGCCTTTTGAATACTCCCCATTCTATGAAGGAAGCTAGCTCTTTACACCGTCTAGAGTCTTCATTTTCTCCCATAAATCTGGTGAACTTTCATTAATATATGGAGGACAATACCTGCCGTAGGTCTTGATCTAGTAGCTTCACCCTTGCTTCAAGTACTCTTGCCATGTGCTTCAATTCAAATGAAAGCATGTTATGCAAAGCATGTGCTATAATGTGGACCATGTTGTAGATGCTATAGCTGTGGGCAGTCATATCCATCTCAAAAACAGATGAAGGAAGTGTCTCCAGCTCTTCCAGTCCATTGCAGATGGCTTCATCTTGCTCGTGAATCTTGGAGCTGGGAAAGAAACATTCAAAGGCCTCCTCCCAGAAAACCTGAATAAAGCCGTCTTGTGATTCAGAGAATGCCCTTCTCTTCTGGAGAAATTTCTGGAATCCCAAAACTTCCTTTGAGTGAACTGCAAAAGATAGGGCACCATGTAGGAAGTCTAGATCTTCATTCCTTTGAAAGGGTAGTGATGTGAAATCCATCTGGGCTGTCATAATCCAGACTTTATTATTTGCTGTTGCTGATATATTTTCATATTTTGATATGGTTGGGACCATTCTCAAATATATCATGGTGTCAATTTCTCCATGAACAAGTAACACGGTAGCAGTGCTTCCAGTTATAGTGCTATATGTTTTCATTCCTTCTGCAACCATCTTATCAATATCACTGACAAAAGTCAGTACCAGAAATCTTTCAATGAAATCAAAGCAAATACCTCTCTGGGAAAATGTGGAAAGCACACTGTCTACAAACTTACTTCCTTCATCAACATTATCATATAGAACCCCAATCCAGGTCCATCCAAAATGCAGCAGTAACCGGACAATCCCCTTGTACTGCATGTCAACATCTGGAAACATCTGGTGGTAGAAAACGTCCTGAGCTTTCCTATTTATCTCAGAACTAGAGCCATAAGTGAACTAGAAGAAAGAAATGTTAAAGGAAGGGAGAGAGGTTAAAAAGAGTGTATGTATTATTTCAGCTGGATCCAGCAGAATCTGCACAGTGGATTGGCTGGTAAAAGGACTGAATTTGCACAAGAAAGAACTGGCCAGGAGTTAGCATAGAGAAGTGTGACTAAGATGCTGGGCTTTGACCAAAGAAAAATGTTAGTTTTCCCTCTTTCTCTCTTCCTCTCTAGACTAAGGGCAGATAGAAAATGAAAGTGTTGCAAAGCTGCTTAAAGGAGTTAACAAAAGAAAGCAGTGGTGCTTTTAAAACTTCTGTGGATAAAGAACAGAGCAAGGAAACCAAGAACTCATCATATAAAGGCACAATAATTTCATGTTTCTTTTTCTCGATAAACATTTCCACATTTCTATAGCTAGATATGTCTCTTAATTTTATTCACAGCATTTATTTCAAACACAATCTGTCTCAAATCCAAACCACATATCCAGAGAAAAGGCAATGGGGGGAGTCAGACTGTTCTTTTAAATCTTTTAGATTCTACATGGAGGTATTACCTGTGGAATTTTGTAGATTGATGGGATGGTTGGCATATGGATGCGGACTTCAGAATTAGGTCCTCCAATGACTGACACCGGATTGTTCTCGGTGTCACACTTGTAGTTAGCGATGAACTTGCCTTGTGTGGAGAAGAGTTCCATCGAGGCATGATATGTCCAGCTTGCTATAAAATGACTGTTATAGATATGGAAGCCCAGAGTGAGATTGGGCAATATCTGGAGATTTTCATTGATCTCCTTTACAGCAAATACCAAAGACAGGATGTGCTGGTAGATCTGAGTCATAACTCTGAAATGAGAAGTGCATACTTTGCTAAATTAGATTGAGGTATGACATAGACTTCAATATATGACCACTAAATATATTTTGTAATTATGAATAAATGTTACATGAAATACTATGATGGTCTTTTGAAAGATAATAGCCACAAATAAACATGTACCCAGAGTTTTCTCCATTTAAACTCCTCCCAGTATTCTGGAGTTCTATTGTCCAGTTTGTGAAAACGTTGCAAAGATGCCACTGCTCATCATCCTAAAAATCAAGGATGATTTATGTAGTTCATGTTATCTAGCTAAATAGTTGCTTTTCTTTTATTATGCATTAATAACTATAGTTTAGTAATATATGAGCTGGACACATTAATGCGTTATTCTGGTTCTATTAGTATTACAAAAATAAGATATGTAAGGTACAGTATTACTGTCTACCATGTATTGCTTTTAATGATAAATGTCAATGACTGATGAAAAAATCATACCTCTCCATGTCATCAGTCTTAAAGATAGTCAACATTACTCTAAATTTTAGTTTTAGGGAAAAAAAGACTTGTGAAATTACATTTTGAACAGAAATATAGACATTTTGATATGTGTGAATCTTGTTATATAAGAAGAAAACATTCTGATTTATGAAAGCATTTTTCCATTCTATTTCTGTTACTTTATTGAATGCACTTTGGGGGATTTAATATTAGTGACCGTATTAGACATGAGTGATTAATAATCTAGGAAGGTTAGCTTCTTAATAATGAAGGAAGGAAATATTCTGTGACTGTTTCCCCTGTCTGACAGGCTAAGGAGTAAGTTTTCTTTTAAAGTAAAGATGTGAAAATTGTTATACAGTATGTTACACCATTTCCCAAACTCAGTCATGAATATTTTCCACTTCATCCCTTTCTTTTGCCCAGAAATCCCTCAAATTCTCTGTCTGAAATTTGTCGCAAATGTTCTCCAGGATCTGAACTAATACAGTACTGGGAATATAATTTTTAAAAATGAACTCTGGATGGATTTGAATGAAATTTAGCAAGATTTTCATAGCTATACAGTTGTTTTGTAAATTTCACTCCATTCTAATTTTTAAAAAAAGCTTATTGAAAACTTAAAAAAAAAATCTGAGGCAAATACCTCAGAAGCTGAAGCATAGGTTTCCTTGGAACTCTGTATTACTACTAATATTAGTAGCAGCAAACATCATCTTCATTTTCAATCTTTAGAGCTACATAATCAAATGAACCATGGGAGTGTATATCAGTTTGTTTGTTTAAGTTGCAAATACAATATTGGACCAAATCCAAGACTGAAAGCATGTAAGGGAATAGACAAATATTTAAATAAGAACCATCAAATAGAGATCACAAATCCCCTTGGCTCAGGGGCTATTAGAAAAGCCAAGGTTTTAATACATCTGTTTATGATATCCAAGCCGTAGCATTCTAATAAAAAACAGCCCACACCATTATATATTTTTATCTAGGTTAGGTCATCCTAGATAACAAAATGATTATGCTGTTTTTTCTCACTCCCAATTCTGAATCAGATTGCATCAGTATATTGCCCTCCATCTTATCTTAAATAGAAGTCCATCCCCTGGACAAAACACTAATCCAAGTCTATCTAGACTTAGATGTTCTCTAGAGCTAGATGAAATAATAATATAGGGATATACAGAGATACATATGTTTCTGTGTGCATGTTTGTGTCGAATTACACATCCATCTTACGCAGTATCATGAACAAGTTCAGTAGAAGGACATTCTTGGAAAGTTACTGTGTTTGAAAATATGTAGATTTGAGACATGATGGCTCCGATGACAGCATCTCCTGACTGATAATATTTATGAAGAATAGGAAGAGGCTCAGCAATGTGGCACTTGAGGTTGGGAATCTTGCAGACTACCAAACACATAAAAAATGAAATCAATGCCAAAAAAGTCATTAACTTCCTTGGAATCATTTTTTATTTTCCTTTAGCCCATTTCCCCAGTCCTTGCTTTATGTTTCACTGTGATATTCGTCAAATGATACAACCAGGATGGAGTAGCTGAGACAAAAAAAGTGGTCTCCAGGTCCTTCTTGAATGACACATGAAATAACTGGGCTTGTAGATAGTCCTGTAAGTAGACAAAGCTACTCTTTTGGGATTTAGAAATAAAGCACAAATTTCCCACTTTATGTGATAATATAACCATCTTTCAAATTGCAGGTTCTAGGAGCTAATAGAGAAGAAAACTTGTTTATCATCTCAGCAGAAGCCATCTCTAATTCTTCTCACTGGGGTTGCAAGAGGTCAAAAAGGCTTCAGCAATAGCTAAGAAAGTAAAATACCACCCAAAGCAGCCATTTCAAGTAGTTATTCCTACCCACAACATCTTGGAATGGAGGATGCTTAGAGTGATCCATGGCTCTAATTGTCTCTGTATGAAGAGCCAGGGTTGCAGTACATAGAAATCGGAACCATGGGCTTGGAAGGATACTTTCTTTGCAACCATGCAATTCATCCAAGGAACAACTTTTCCCTTCTACTTCTCAGTGAAGTGCAGGAGTGATAAGAAGCCCTTTTTGAGCCCAGAATGCATTTCTTAAATCTTGCCTCCAAACCAGCTTCCTGATGCCCCAAAGTAAAGTTATCATAGCCTCAGTTCTCATTAACATAGGATCTGATTTCTGATTTCTCTTCTTTGATTACACATGTCATTGATAATCTGTCATACCACCTACCTTTTGGAACATCATCCCCCCTGAAATTTGTTTGGTCCTGACCCTCCTACTGGTTTGTAAACCCTTGAAACCTCAATGTCCCCCCCACACATGGGCCCTGTAGGTTGGATGACCCCAAAATTTGGTTAAGGTTACCCATAATGCTCTATACATGAATACATTTCTATACTATAGATATTTTTGTGAGTCTGTGATGAATTCATTCACTTAAAAGCTGGCATGTGTTTGCTGAAAATTAAATTGAAATATATAATTTTGCTTAGCAAATCTGTCACCTTGGCATCTTCAGCAATCAGTGGCCTTCTGAGATACAGTTGAAATAGGGCCGGAAAGGAATACCATAAACTTTGATGTGGTGGCTACAATGGTGCAGTCAGAATGAGCAGGACAAATAATTGGTAATAACCAAAGAATTTATGAATTTGTTTTAGAAATGCTTATATTTCTAATTTCACTCCAATCTGCATCAGGATCCATATTCCTACTCCCAAAACCCACTTGGAAAAGTAAAAATCATTGAGGGCAACCATTCACAACAGGCAAGTAATGCTGGTAGAGAGGGAGCAGAAATTATAATTTTCTAAGTGGGATATTTCATCAGAGTATTTATTGTAATATAGAACAACATATGTTGTTATTGAAAAAAGATCAATGTTTCCTGGCACCTTTTAGTATTCAGCTCATTCAACTCCTACCTGATGCTATTACCAGATGGTAGTAAGCAGGAGAGAAAGATCAGGGAAAGTGGGAGATCAGATTATAGATTAAATAACTGACATACCTGTATAATTCAAACAGATTGCTTGTGTTTAATTTATATTTTCCATTTATGTCTCTCAGTAGGTTGATAACAAAACTTTAATCCTACCACTCTACACTCATTTGTGCAACCACAATCACACAACAGTGTAAAAGCACAGAACACTTCCAGCTGCTCAGAAGTGAGGAAAGTTTCCCAGCAGAGGGGTTGCCAGTAGTGTCAAGGGTGATGTAGTTGGCAAGCCTAAGAAATGAAAACCACACAGATTTTAAATACATTTTTAATGCTCTGTGTGTATGTGCGTGCACCTTTGAGTCAGCCTTGACTTCTGGACACTGCCTGGACTAGTCCCTGCAGTTTTCTTGGCAGCATTTTCAGAACCCTTCTTCTTCCTAGGGCTGAGAGAGAGTGACTGGCCCAAGCTGCATTTGTGCCTAAGGCTGGACAGGTAAAAACATAATCTTGGAAACAGTAAGAGTAAATTCCCAGACAGACTTATAGGGCAACAATTAAGGCAAAGTCTCTCTGAAATGTTTCCTTCCCATTATCCCCACATTTGTGCTGTGCTGTATCTTCCCATAGGACCTGAACTCTTCTCCTCTAGCTGTTTCCCACCATCTCTCACAACCAAAAAACAACAATTCTTTTTCCACGTATTCTTCTGACAACTCATCCGACTGACCAGTGTGCAATGCAGACCACCAATCAACTGTACAACCAGACAGAAAATAGCACACCAACCTGGCTGGAAAAGGGTACAACTGGTGAAACCTCAACCAACAAAACATCCACAGCACACCCAAATACTGTAGAGTCTAGAACACCAAGTTTCTATAAGCTTCCAGAAGGCCAGAAGAATGGAAACCATCCTTACTTTTGAGGGAAGCTGTTTCAGTGGAAGGGAACCTCTACAAATAATGCCTGCTTTCTGCTTCTCTCCTGCCATGTGTCTTGGTAGGTGGGGACCTGCAGTGGGCTTTCTCTGTTCACCTGGATTGGGCAGGCAGAATCTCTCTTGGATAGTTATTTTTATAGATATCAGACCCTGAGCCATGTAGGGCCTCATCGGTAATAACCAGCATATTGAGATGAACTCAGGAACATGCTCCAATAGCCAGTGCAGCCAATGTGAGAAGGAGATGGTTTCTCTGTTCTGCACTTTCAACTTCTTGACTTAGATCAATAGGAAGCAGAAGTATAAA